CGAAAGTGGTCAAGACATACTTGGAAACGTTGAAATGGGAAGTTCTACCCCACCCGCCGTATTCTCCAGACGTTGTTCCCTCTGACTATCACTTGTTTCGATCAATGGCACACGGCCTGGCTGACCAGCACTTCCAGTCTTATGAAGAAGTAAAAAATTGGATCGATTCGTGGATCGCCTCAAAAGATGACCAGTTTTTTCGACGCGGGATTCGTACGCTGCCCGAAAGATGGGAGAAAGTAGTGGCCAGCGATGGACAATACTTTGAATCATAAATATATAACCAGTTTTTTACAATAAAACCTCGAATTTCGGAAAAAAACGGCGGAAGCAAAGTTGTACACCTAATAAATTTTTTTCTCAGTGTAATGAACTTTTATACTACTCTACAGGTTCTAGAGTAAAGAATATTTTATGACAAAATTTAACATTTCTAAAATGTCTTATTTTTAAATGTTTCCTTAGTTTTCATTTTAAAAAGTTATATAAAACCCTAAACTACAATACAAATAATTAAATAATTGGAACTAATTCGTCTCTAGACAAATTACTATTTAAAATGACTTATTTCGACCTTTCCAAGACGAATTCTTACCATTTTTCCATGGAATTTTGAACGAATAAAAATGCTACCATTGTATTTAGCGAACCAAAAAAAATGTAATGCTTATATGTATAATTTATACTACACTTTTTAGGCCAAAATTAGCCCACTTCACCTATCGTCCTACGACTGTTTCAAATAAGTAATTGCGGCTCATTTAGTTGCCTCGGCGATTAGTCACCGGAAATTTCTACGTGATTCCACCCCGACCTCTTCAGCGTAACTTTCCCTTCGAGTTTTATCGCGGCTCTAAAATCATGTTCGGCACGTCACACGGTTACACGCGGTTTTAATCGATCGAAGATACATGATGACTTCCCCTCCTGCCCACGTTGTATTCGACCAAGTCTGACTTTCTCGGAATTGCGTTTCACAATGTGCGACTACAAAAGGACAAGAGAGAGGAAGAATGACAATGACTGAATTTCGATATCACTCGATACAGCTGTACCGTGTAAGTAGGCTGCTGCGTACGAAATCACGTTGTCCAAGTACGTCAAGTCGTTCTGCATAAAATATTGGCAAGAGTGGCTCGTGTCTTCTTACCCACCATTTACGGTAAACGATTGGCATCGCCTTCGAAACATGAAAAGTATCTCCAGTGCGACGCGTGTCACTCGAAAAGGAAAGCCGAGCGGCTTTTCGTTGATTAATCCGATTGACGATCGAAGGGAGAACTCGTGTCACTCGCCGTTCGACAAAATCTCAAGTTTGCCTTTGGACGCGTCGATTTATAGATAAGTACATCGCGAAAAACTTTTGATATAATCACATTGTATAACAAGCTCTTTTGTTACTATTTAACTTACTACTGATATTGCCGAGAGATTCCCTTTAGAACCTACGAGTGATTTCGTGCATTTCCAGGTCGAAGAGCCTCTACGTCGTATAATTCAGCTGTATCGATAGTTATTAAAGTAGAATCATTGTCGTGAGATTCAGGTCTTGCTCGAATGAAGAGGACGGATAATATATAGCGGGGGTGGGCGGTTCCTTGGGATACGACGAAAGACGATGATATTTTGGTTGTTGGTTCCGAAGGGAGTAAGAGTAAGGCGGGTGAATATGTACATGTTGCATTAACTCTCGCTATTTTCTGCCATTTAGAGACTAAGTAGAACTTCAGTTTCTATGTACATTACGCATACACTGATTCTTTAGAATATACAGATACTCTGAAGTCTATAATAATCTCTTTCAAGTCTATATTATTCTACTAGCTTTGACGAGTTCCCTTTAGAACTTACAAGTGATTTTGTGCGTTTTCTGCTATTTAAAGGCACCAAATTGAATTTCAGTTTCCGTGTGTACTGCACATGCACACTGATCCTTTAGAATATACGGATGTTAGAAAGTTCAGGTTCAAAGTAAGACTAAAATTCTGACTTGAGATAACGATTCACCTTGCATGAGAACGCACGTCTCGATTTGACTAATAAGACCTTTCCCTGCCAAGTCGCGTGCATAAATTAAATTATTCTTAAGCACGACATTAACGTTCATTGAATTGAATCGGTCAATTGGATTGAAACATGTTAGACATTACGATCGACAATCTTTATAATGCACTCATATTATCGCAATCTTACAACGCACACTTAAGAGATTGTCTTTATTAATTAATAACACGTAATATATCACGGCTAATTGAATATGATACTCTTCAGATACACGAAGTGTATCGAGCGAGCCGATCGTACCGTCGAAGAATTAATGAGTCTCGTTAAAAAGTAATGGCGCCTATAATGGTGCAAGTGGTTGCGTGACAATAACTGCCTACGAGACTGCAATTATACGAGTCCGGCGTAGGTTCTTACCGCAGATTGCAATGCGTTTCGTCCGCATGTTTCCGTCGGGCGCGGTTGCTGTAAATACCAACTGGAAGACTAACAAAACACCGAGGATCACGACACGATCGGGCAGACTTTTACGCTCCTGATGAGAGAATCCCATGTCCTGTCGTGTGTACTTCGAAATCTGTGTTGTTTTCCACGCTCTATTCGTTAGATGCTATTTTCACTTCAAGATCGTGAGAACGTATTGCAACGATCTTTCATTATAGATTCTTTAATATCTCTCATAATGATCGAAGGGTCCACATCGACAGTTATTACTTGAAACTCATTTCGAGTGAGATATCCAGATTTAAATTCAAAGATTAATGAAAATTTCTCAGTTGAATCGCACAATTATAGATATAAATATCATATGCATTATAATTCCAGCAAAAAACTTGGGTCTAACTCTGAGTAAAAATCTGAGTATTTCATGTAAAACAGGATTCAGATGATAATTATTAATACAGGCCTTAGAGAGAATTAAAGTAGATTCTTATTTTGAAGACTTCTCTGCTGTTTAGTTGCAAATCTCTTTTTATTGGGAGTACAAATTAGTTCGGTCCGTTTTTTGTGGTCAAAAATGCATTTATTTCAGAACAAAATGAATGAACAGATTAATCAAAGTATTGTCCATCGCTGGCTACTACTTTTTCCCACCTTTCAGGCAATTTTCGAATTCTCGAAAAAATGTCTCGTCTTTTGAGGCGATCCAAGTTAGGAGCCAATTTTCGATTTATACGAAAGAAGTGAACCGGTGACCTGCCAAATCGTGCTGCATCCGTCGGAATAACCAGTAATCAGAAAGAGCAATGTCCGGCGAATACGGCGGTTGCGGTAAAATCCTTAAGTGTTTCCAAATAATTTTTTACGACTTTTGCGACATAAGGCCCAGCGTTATCATGCAGAAGAACTTTGTCATATCTTTGCTCGTATTCCGGCCGTTTTTCTCGTAATGCACGGCTCAAACGAATCAACGAAGTGTAACTCCCAATGATTCTGCAAGCTCCTCTTGCGTTTGACTCGGATCTTCATCGAGTAATGCCTCCAATTCTTTGTCTTCGAATTTTTTTGGCTGTCTAGAGCGAGGCTTGTCTTCAACGCTGAAATAACCATTCTTGAAACGTCGAAACCATTCCCTACATGATTTATCAGTTGAAGCATTGTCACCATAAACTTCTACAAGCATTCGATGCGCTTCAGCTGTACTTTTCTTCCAATTAAAGCAGAAAACTAAAACCTCTCGCAAATGCTGCTTAGTTAACACAAAATTTGACATACTCAACACAGTAAAAAACAGGGGTTTTGTATGAAATTCAAAGCGATATAAACTGAATATTATTAACAGATGTCTAACCTCTCTGAAACCACCGAAATCAGCTTTCACTATGAAACATTCATAACAGCCAGAGCCATTTTTTGAAAACGGACCGAACTAATCTGTACTCCCAATAATTGTGGGACATGCGAGTAATATTTCTGTTATTCCAAAAGGGGAATATTATGTGTTTTCCCATTTATTTCGTAATAATAGCAATAATCTCCCGCGAATGTGTTTTTTCCTTTTCTAGTGATATTAAACAGGCATAATCACCTGGCCTCCCATTAGAATTCTAACGTGTCGCAATGATTTCAGGCGTCATCGTTGTCCGCACAACTACCCCGACGAACACATAGATATATCACACGATGAATCGATCCACGCGGTGAGCTCCTATCGGCAAGAGTACGATGAGAAACGCGTAGACAGACAGACGAGATACTATCATGAGGACCAACTGCATATAGGCGGCGAATTTACCGGGGAGAGGCGAACCGATTATGTGGCTACCAAGGGCGAGAGAGCGCCCGTCAAGAAGCCGCAGGATCACCTCAAACCCGAGGGTGAATTCGTCGGGAGGCCAAAGCAGGAGGCGCCCACGAGAGGCGAAAGGGCACCTGTGAAGAAGCCGCAGGACAATCTGAAGCCGGAAGGCGAATTCATCGGCAAACCGCGGGAGGAAGCGCCGAAGTATGGCGAACGAGCACCGATCACGAAGCCGCGGGATACCTTGAAATTCGAAGGAGACTTCGACAGTAAGTCTCGACGCATCATTCGCGTATCGGTAAACTCGTTTTCCTCTTCGCGAAACATTTTAAATTCAATAATCCGCGGCTCCTTGGTAGTATTGAGATGTACACTCTAGAATGGACATTCTTTTCGTAAAAACGTATCGCGATGCGGATAAAAGGAGTCCCTTTGTCGCTTTTCAGCTACCACGACGACCGAGCTGGTCTTCACCGGAACTCCCGGCGAACGACCGAGCCCGATCCGCCGCAACACTTATACGAAAGTAGAGGGTGATTTCATCGATGAAACAACTACACGATCCCAGTACGTCGATCATCGCAGTATTCAACGTGCTGAGATCGTCAGGCGAACGGATAACCTCACTGTGGGAGAGGGTGAATTCACGGTTGGTAGAATGTTTGCGCGGATTATTGTATAATAATCGTTACTTCATTCAGTTTGCTTATCGTTTTTAAAAATTGTGTTGCAGGGTACCTCTCATGTCAAGGAGGATTTCCAGACCCATGTTGTCGAACGTGAGCCTCAATGGCGACCCAAATATCCCGAGGAGACCGATCGGTTCTACGGCAAGACCGACATCATAGATAGCACTACCACCAGCCAGCAACAATATCGTACCTTCGACCAGACGGATTATAAAAGTACCACTGTAGTTAGAAGAGCTGACAATCTGAGACCTGAAGGACCCTTCGAGGCATTACCACACACCAAGGATGATTACATAGCACCAATATTACCGCGCAGACCAGAGCCACGAAAACCAAAAGATAATTTAAAACCCGAAGGATCATTCGAAGGGCAACCTAAAGATGATTACAGACCAACGAGAGGAGAGCGAGCTGACGTTAAGCGTCCCGAAGATAATCTAAGACCAGAAGGACCGTTCGAAGGACGTCCTAAAGATGATTATTCGCCTAAACGCGGCGAAAGACCTGAAGTAAAACGGCCTGAAGATAATTTGCGTCCTGAAGGACCGTTCGAAGGCCGACCTAAGGATGATTATAGACCAACTAGAGGTGAACGCGCTGACGTGAAACGTCCTAAAGATAATTTAAGACCGGAAGGACCATTCCAGGGTCGTCCTAAGGATGATTATAAACCAACGAGAGGAGAGCGAGCTGATGTTAAGCGTCCCGAAGATAACCTAAGACCCGAAGGACTATTCGAAGGTCGTCCTAAGGATGATTACAAACCGACCAGAGGTGAGCGCGCAGACGTGAAACGGCCTGAGGATAATTTAAGGCCGGAAGGACCATTCGAGGGTCGTCCTAAGGATGACTTCTCTCCGAAAAGAGTAGATCGTCCAGAAGTAAAACGTCCTGAAGATAACTTGAGACCCGAAGGACCATTCGAGGGTCGTCCTAAGGATGATTATAAGCCAACCAGAGGTGAACGCGCAGATGTGAAGCGTCCTGAAGATAATTTGAGACCGGAAGGACCATTCGAGGGCCGTCCTAAGGATGATTATAAGCCAACCAGAGGTGAACGCGCAGATGTGAAGCGTCCTGAAGATAATTTGAGACCGGAAGGACCATTCGAGGGCCGTCCTAAGGATGATTATAAGCCAACCAGAGGTGAACGCGCAGATGTGAAGCGTCCTGAAGATAATTTGAGACCGGAAGGACCATTCGAGGGCCGTCCTAAGGATGATTATAAGCCAACCAGAGGTGAGCGCGCAGATGTGAAACGTCCTGAGGATAATTTGAGACCGGAAGGACTATTCGAGGGACGTCCTAAGGATGATTACAAACCAACTAGAGGTGAACGCGCAGATGTAAAACGTCCTGAGGATAATTTGAGACCCGAAGGTCCATTCGAGGGCCGTCCTAAGGATGACTTCTCCCCGAAAAAAGCGGATCGTCCAGAAGTGAAACGTCCTAAAGATAATTTGAGACCCGAAGGTCCATTCGAGGGACGTCCTAAGGATGATTACAAACCAACTAGAGGTGAACGCGCAGATGTAAAACGTCCTGAGGATAATTTGAGACCCGAAGGTCCATTCGAAGGTCGTCCTAAGGATGATTACAAACCAACTAAAGGCGAACGTGCAGATGTGAAACGTCCTGAGGATAATTTGAGGCCGGAAGGACCATTCGAGGGCCGTCCTAAGGATGACTTCTCTCCGAAAAGAGCGGATCGTCCAGAAGTGAAACGACCGAAAGATAACTTACGACCTGAGGGTGACTTTATAGATCGTCCGAAAGATCAGTATACACCTGGTGAGAAACGTACACCAATTAGACATCCGGATAATCTGCATCCAGAAGGTGATTTTGAGAGACCCCAATTAATACCTTATGGTCCCGGCGACAGAGCTTCCATCGTGCGTCACCCGGACAATCTGTTTCCGATTGGAGAATTTCCAGATAAGGAGGTTGAGCCTTTCCGACCAGCTGAGCGTAGAACACCTATCAAACACGACGATAACCTTCGTCCGGAAGGCGACTTTATAGGGAAACCCAAGGATGATTACAGGCCGACTAAAGGAGAACGCGCTGATGTTAAAAGACCAGAGGATAATTTGAAACCAGAGGGACCATTCGAGGCTTGGCCTAAAGATGATTACAGCCCCAAAAGAGCGGAACGTCCAGAGGTGAAGAAACCGCAAGACAATCTAAAGCCGGAAGGACTGTTTGAAGGACGACCTAAAGATGACTTTAAACCAACTAAAGGAGATCGTGCAGATGTTCGACGTCCGGAAGATAACTTACGACCCGAGGGACTCTTCGAAGGGCGACCAAAAGATGATTATTTACCTAAGCGTGCCGAACGTCCTGAAGTAAAACGTCCAGAGGATAACTTACGACCAGAAGGTCTATTCGAAGGCCGCCCGAAAGACGATTATAGGCCGACTAAAGGAGGTAGAGCGGATGTTAAACGGCCGGAAGATAACTTGCGACCGGAAGGACCTTTCGTGGGACGCCCGAAGGATGATTATTCGCCCAAACGTGCCGAACGGCCTGAAGTAAAACGACCAGAAGACAATCTACGTCCCGAAGGTGTCTTTGAGAGACCAGAGAAAGAACCCATTGGTCCAGCGGAGAGACGCAGTCCCATTAAACATCCGGATAATCTAAAACCCGAAGGTGATTTTGAGCGACCTGATCAAGAAGTTTATCATCCGGCAGAGCGGCCAACAGTTAAAAAACCAATAGACAATCTGAAGCCCGAAGGTGACTTCGAAAGACCTCGTCCTAAGGAATATACCCCAGCGGAGAAACGAACGCCCGTGAGACACCCAGACAATCTTAAGCCGGAAGGAGAATTCGTTGGCAAGCCCATAGACGTCACGCCTACTAAAGGCGACCGCGGGGATGTTAAACGGCCGGAAGATAACTTAAGACCGGAAGGACTGTTCGAAGGACGCCCGAAAAACGATTACTTGCCCAAACGCGCTGAACGTCCTGAGATAAAACGCCCAGAAGACAACTTACGACCAGAAGGCTCATTCGAAGGACGTCCAAAGGACGATTACAAGCCCACTAAAGGAGATCGAGCGGATGTTAAACGACCGGAAGACAATTTAAGACCCGAAGGACCGTTCGAGGGACGCCCGAAGGACGACTACTCACCGAAACGTGCCGAGCGTCCTGAAGTGAAACGTCCGGAGGATAATCTGCGTCCCGAAGGTGATTTTGAGAGACCAGAGAAGGCTCCTGTCGGGCCAGCAGAGAGGCGAACTCCGATTAAACATCCAGATAACCTTAAACCGGAAGGCGAATTCGTCGGAAGACCCAAAGAAGATTTCACTCCCACTAAAGGCGATCGCGCGGATGTTAAAAGACCGGAAGATAATCTAAGACCAGAGGGGCCATTTGAAGGTAGGCCGAAAGACGACTATAGACCGGTGCGCGGAGAACGCGTCGACATCGTCAAACGTACGGATAATTTGCGCATGGAAGGAGACATCGAGACATACAGATCCAGAGATGAATACACCGACTTCCTTATACGCGAGAGAAGCGAAATCACGCGCTACGAAGACAATTTGCGTATGGAGGGTGAGTTTATCGATACGAGAACGCGAGACGACTTTAAAGTCGTAAGAGGCGAACGCGTGGACATTGTTAAACATCTCGACAATTTGAGGCCAGAAGGTGCGTTTGAAGGTCGCCCAAAGGACGATTATATGCCTAAAAGAGCTGAGAGACCCGAGATCAAGAAACCGGAAGACAACTTGAAACCAGAAGGTGACTTTGTACGTCGGCCCAAAGAGGAGGTGCCTAAGAAAGGCGAGAGAGCTGATATTAAGAAGCCGAAAGATAATTTACGACCAGAAGGTGATTTCGAAAGACCGGAGAAGAAACCAATTAGCCCAGCAGAGAGGCGTTCTCCAATTAAACATGCAGACAATCTGAAGCCGGAAGGTGAATTTGAGAGACCTAAGCCTGAAGAGTTTAAGCCCGCGGATAGACCAGTGGTGAAGAAACCCCACGATAACTTGAAGCCAGAAGGCGAATTCGTCTCCAGACCGAAGGAAGAGGCGCCAAAGAAAGGCGATCGAGCTGATGTGAAAAAGCCCAAGGATAATCTGCGTCCTGAAGGCGACTTCGAGAGACCGGAAAAGGCGCCTATTGGTCCAGCAGAGAGACGTACTCCCATTAAACATGCGGATAATCTGAAGCCAGAAGGTGAATTTGAGAGACCTAAACCTGAAGAATTTAAACCCGCGGAAAGACCAGTGGTGAAGAAACCGCACGACAACCTGAAGCCAGAAGGTGAGTTCGTCACGAGACCAAAAGAAGAGGCGCCAAGAAAAGGCGATCGAGCTGCCGTGAAGAAACCCAAGGACAATCTGCGTCCTGAAGGCGATTTCGAGAGGCCGGAAAAGGCGCCTATTGGTCCAGCGGAAAGACGTACTCCAATTAAACATCCGGATAATTTAAGACCCGAAGGCGAATTCGAACGACCTGATCAGGAAGCTTACCGTCCGGCTGAAAGGCCGGAAGTCAAGAAACCAGTGGATAATTTGAAGCCAGAAGGCGAGTTCGAAAGACCTCTTCCGGAAAAATATGCTCCAGCCGAAAAACGAACGCCAGTGAAACATCCAGATAACCTCAAACCTGAAGGAGAATTTGTCGGTAGACCCAAAGAAGATTTTACTCCCACCAAAGGTGATCGTGCGGATGTTAAGAGACCAGAAGATAATCTAAGACCAGAGGGGCCATTTGAAGGCAGACCGAAGGACGACTATCGACCAGTGCGTGGAGAACGTGTGGACATTGTAAAGCACACCGACAATTTGCGTATGGAAGGAGATATTGAGACGTACAGATCGAGAGACGAGTACACTGACTTCCTGATACGCGAGAGAAGTGAAATCACACGCTACGAAGACAACTTGCGTATGGAAGGCAAATTCATTGACACGAGGACGCGAGACGATTATAAAGTCGTGAGAGGCGAACGCGTGGACATTGTTAAACATCTCGACAATTTAAGGCCAGAAGGTCCGTTCGAAGCTCGTCCAAAAGACGATTATTCACCTAAGAGAGCCGAGAGACCCGAGATCAAAAAGCCGGAAGACAACTTGAAACCGGAAGGCGACTTTGTACGTCGGCTCAAGGAAGAGGCGCCTAAGAAAGGCGAGAGAGCTGATATTAAAAAGCCGAAAGATAATTTACGACCAGAAGGTGATTTCGAAAGACCGGAGAAGAAACCAATCGGCCCAGCGGAGAGACGTTCCCCGATTAAACATACTGATAACTTAAAACCGGAAGGAGAGTTCGAGAGACCGAAACCTGAAGAATTCAAGCCTGCGGAAAGACCAGTCGTGAAGAAACCGCACGATAATCTGAAGCCAGAAGGTGAGTTCGTTACGAGACCGAAAGAAGAAGCACCGAAGAAAGGCGATCGAGCTGACATGAAGAGGCCCAAAGACAATCTGCGTCCTGAAGGCAATTTCGAGAGGCCGGAAAAGGCGCCTATTGGTCCAGCGGAAAGGCGCAGTCCAATTAAACATCCAGATAATTTGAAACCCGAAGGGGAGTTTGACCGACCTGATCAGGAGACTTACCGTCCGGCTGAAAGACCAGAAGTCAAGAAACCAGTGGATAACCTGAAACCAGAAGGTGAATTTGAAAGACCTCGTCCAGAAAAATATGCTCCAGCCGAAAAACGAACGCCGGTGAAACATCCGGATAACCTCAAGCCTGAAGGTGAATTCGTTCGCAGACCCAAAGAAGATTTTACTCCCACCAAAGGTGATCGTGCGGATGTTAAGAAACCGGAAGATAATCTAAGACCAGAAGGGCCATTCGAAGGCAGACCGAAGGACGACTATCGACCAGTGCGTGGAGAACGCGTGGACATTGTAAAGCACACCGACAATTTGCGTATGGAAGGAGACATTGAGACGTACAGATCGAGAGACGAGTACACTGACTTCCTGATACGCGAGAGAAGTGAAATCACACGCTATGAAGACAATTTGCGTATGGAGGGTGAGTTTATCGATACGAGAACGCGAGACGACTTTAAAGTCGTAAGAGGCGAACGCGTGGACATTGTTAAACATCTCGACAATTTGAGGCCGGAGGGTCCGTTTGAAGGTCGCCCAAAGGACGATTATATGCCTAAAAGAGCCGAGAGACCCGAGATCAAGAAGCCGGAAGATAACTTGAAACCAGAAGGTGACTTTGTACGTCGACCCAAAGAGGAGGTGCCTAAAAAAGGCGAGAGAGCTGATGTTAAAAAGCCGAAAGATAATTTACGACCAGAAGGTGATTTCGAAAGACCGGAGAAGAAACCAATTGGTCCAGCGGAGAGGCGTTCTCCGATTAAACACGCAGACAATCTGAAGCCGGAGGGTGAATTTGAGAGACCGAAACCTGAAGAATTCAAACCTGCGGAAAGACCGATCGTGAAGAAACCTCACGATAACTTGAAGCCAGAAGGCGAGTTTGTTTCGAGGCCGAAAGAAAAGGCGCCAAAGAAAGGCGATCGAGCTGACGTGAAAAAGCCTAAGGACAATCTGCGTCCTGAAGGCGATTTCGAAAGACCGGAAAAGGCGCCTATTGGTCCAGCAGAGAGACGTTCTCCCATTAAACACGCGGATAATCTGAAACCGGAGGGTGAGTTTGAGAGACCGAAACCTGAAGAATTTAAACCCGCGGAAAGACCAGTCGTGAAGAAACCGCACGACAACCTAAAGCCAGAAGGTGAGTTCGTCACGAGACCAAAAGAAGAGGCGCCAAGAAAAGGCGATCGAGCTGCCGTGAAGAAACCCAAGGACAATCTGCGTCTTGAAGGCGATTTCGAGAGGCCGGAAAAGGCGCCTATTGGTCCAGCGGAAAGACGTACTCCAATTAAACATCCGGATAATTTAAGACCCGAAGGCGAATTCGAACGACCTGATCAGGAAGCTTACCGTCCGGCTGAAAGACCGGAAGTCAAGAAACCAGTAGATAACTTGAAACCAGAAGGTGAATTTGTCTCGAGACCGAAGGAAGAGGCGCCTAGAAAAGGTGACAGAGCTGAAGTAAAGAAGCCTAAAGATAATCTCAAGCCCGAGGGTGACTTTGAGAGACCGGAGAAGGCACCGATCGGTCCTGCTGAGCGACGTTCTCCGATTAAACATCCGGATAACTTGAGACCGGAAGGTGACTTTGAGCGGCCGAAGCACGAAGGGTACCAGCCGACAGAGAGACCTCGCGTGAAAAAGCCGACGGATAATCTCAAGCCAGAAGGCGACTTCGAGCGACCGCAGCCGAAGAAGATTAAGCCAGGTGAGAAGAGGACGCCGATCAAGCATCCCGATAATTTGAAGCCGGAAGGCGAGTTTGTCGGTCGTGCGCGGGAGGACGCTCCTCAACGTGGTGAACGGGCCGATGTCAGAAAGCCGCAAGATAATCTGCGGCCGGAAGGTGACTTCGAGAGGCCGGAGAAGAAAGCGGTTGGTCCGGCGGAAAGGAGGACTCCGATCAAGCATGCGGATAACTTGAAGCCGGAAGGTGAATTTGTGGGTAAACCTAAAGAAGAGGCTCCAAAGAGAGGAGATCGAGCAGACGTGAGGAGACCCACGGATAATCTCAAGCCTGAAGGGGACTTCGAGAGACCCGAGAAAGCTCCGATCGGGCCCGGGGAGAGACGTTCTCCGATTAGACATCCCGATAACTTGCGACCCGAGGGTGAATTCGCGACTCGTCCGAAGAAAGAGACACCACTCAAAGGTGAGAGAGCGGAAGTGACTAAGCCGAAGGATAATTTACGACCGGAAGGTGAGTTCGAGAGGCCTCAGAAGTCGCCGATTGCACCAGCGGAACGGCGCATGCCCATCCGACACGAGGACAACTTATATCCGGAAGGCGACTTCGTCGGGCGACCGAAGGATGACTTCGTTCCGCGACGTGCTGACCGACCGGTCCAAAAGAAGCCTAAGGACAACTTAAAACCGGAAGGCGAATTCGTGGGCAGACCCAAGGACGATTACAAACCGACCAAAGGGGAAAGAACAGAAGTCGTAGTGCATCGTGATAACCTGAAGATGGAGGGCGACATAGACGTTTACCGATCGCGCGACGATTACGTCGCCACGACCAAGCGCGAGCGCGTAGATATCGTTCACCGCGATGACAACTTGAAAATCGAAGGCGAGTTCGTTGATATTTATCGGCGAGACGACTATCGCGCCACTCGCGGCGAGCGCAGCGAGATCGTCAGACGTGAGGATAATCTCCGTCCCGAGGGTGACTTCGAGCGTCCGGAGAAGTCACCAATCGGTCCCGCGGAAAGAAGGTCTCCCATCAAACATCCTGACAACCTGAAACCGGAAGGTGACTTTGCGCAACGGCCAAAGGAAGCCGCACCTGTCAAGGGTGATCGAGCCACCGTGAAAAAGCCGCGAGACAATTTGAAGCCCGAAGGTGAATTCGAGAGACCAACCAAGTCACCTGTCGGCCCCGGCGAACGACGATCGCCCATCAAACATCCCGACAATCTGCATCCGGAGGGCGACTTTGTCGGCAGACCGAAGAAAGATGCGCCGCTGAAGGGTGACCGAGCAGATGTGAAGAAACCGAAAGACAACCTTCGACCTGAGGGAGATTTCGCGAAACGTACGCCGAAGAAGGTGGAGGCAGCCGAGCGCAGGACTCCAATCAGACACGAGGACAATCTACATCCAGAGGGAGACTTTTACATGACGCCTAAAGACGATTTCACTCCGAAGAAAGGAGATCGCTTACCAGTCAAGAGACCGCAGGACAATCTTCGTCCCGAGGGCGAAATGGAAGTGTCAGTCTCCTCGAAGGACGACTACAAATACGTTAACGGCGAACGCGTGGAAGTGCGTCGGCACGAGGATCACCTGCGGATGGAGGGACAGATGGACGTTCGTCGTTCAAGAGATGATTACAAGAAGCTCACGACGAGAGTGGAGAAAGTGGACGTGAAGAGGCGCGAGGATAATCTCAGAATGGAGGGCGAATTTATCGATGTGCGTCGCAAGGATGACTACACGCATATGGTCGGCGAACGCGTTCCTATCAAGAAGCATCCGGACAATCTGCGCCCGGAAGGGGACTTCGACATGCCTCAGAAGACAGTGATCGGCCCCGCGGAGAGAAGGTCACCGATTAAACATCCGGACAATCTCAAACCGGAGGGTGATTTCGAGCGTAGGACTCCGGGCAAGATTGGCCCAGGCGAGCGACGATCGCCGATACGTCACGCTGACAACCTGAAGCCGGAAGGCGACTTCATTGGACGTCCGCGCGACGACTTCACACCTAAGCGCGCGGAGAGGGCCGAGGTTGTGAGGAGAGAGGACAATCTGAGGATGACGGGCGATTTCGAGGGCACAACATCGCACAAATCGACCTATACGCTCGTGCGCGGCGAGCGCGCAGACATCAAGTCTCACGAGGACAACCTGAGAATTAGCAGCGGCGCGATGGAAACGAAGACCACCAGCAAGGATACGTACACACCTTCGCGACGGGAACTGTCACCCATTGGGAAAACGGTGAATCGCCGGAGGCACATGGAATCGTCCATCACACTCGGCGATGACACCGCCGTGATGACCACGACGAATCAGCGCAACTACAATACGTACACGAAGCGCGCGGGTAAGGACATCGCCGCGAAAATGAGCAAGATAGAGTCCGACAGCAGGAAGAGCGTGGAATCGCAGACTCTCGCAGATGGAACAGCCGTGACGACCATGCGACGAACGACAACTTCCGCTCAGTCCGATCAAAGAGCGGCCAGAGATGTCCAAACTATCAGCCATCAGCAACAGACTCAGCAGCAAGTCGCCGACCGTCGCGCGATCCAAGCGATCGACGCTATCACGGACTCGCGAAAGACGAGCGAGTTGCACTCACGATCGCAGAACCTCGCGCAAACTCGTCGAACACTCGAGGATAGATCGATCACGGAGGCGCATAGTCACCGCGGGCAGATCCTGCGGGAAGACATGTCTCGTTATGCGACCGACGCCACGCACGGCGAGCACCATCGGCAACACCAGCAACACGTCGAGCGTCATCAGCAGGAAATGAGCAAGCGCGACTACGTGAACACGCAACATATGGAGAGCCGACAGACCGTCGCGCGGTCTTCAGCGAAGCAACACGAACAGCACACGCACTCCAATCAGGCGCATTACCACACGACGCAATCGAGCAGCCCGGAATTCCGCCAAGTGATCAACGGGCAAAGCACGGAACGATCGCAAGTAGACTCGGGCACGAGGGTCAGCCATCACCGCAAGAACGTGATATCCTCCTCGTCGGCCGACGTGAGCAACGCGGTGCTCCATCGTCGTGGCGCCGCCGCCTCCTCCACCGAGGCGCTTCACACGATCTCGTCCACGGCGGCGGATCAACGCAAGAGCATCTCGAATCTGGCTGAGAGCGGCCAATACATCAGCAACTCGAGTCAGAGCAGCGACAGGCGCAGCCTGACCTCGCTGCACCGCAGCACGAAGGACGTGAATCCTTGGGCGGCCTCCAGCTATGAACGTCCGCAGAGAATCATCCGGCAAGACAACCTGACTGTCGGCGGCAAGTTCTACTCGCAGAGCGAGGCGAAGAACTACGGCAACTTCTCGAACACTCAGAGAGTCGAGAGAGTGCAGAGACAAAGCAACGTGTCCCACATTAATTTAGGTGCTGACAGCGGCACCGTCACCTCTAGCATGTACAAGAGGGAATATGTACCCAGGCACAGAGGACCCTGTCCAGCCTCTCTTTTAGAGGCCAAACAGGCGCCCTTCAAGCACACTAGAGACACGCCGAAGCACAAGTTCTACCTGCCCGTTATATCCAACTGAATCGCCCTGTCGAATCGAATCTGATGTTCTCTTCGTCATATTTTCTTTCAAATCGAATGCGATAACATCGGGACATTAAAGAATCACGAAAAGCGCGAATTAATGTACATTTGTTATTACAGTAACTCGATCAAGTTATATCTTATTACATCGACCATTGGGAGTGAAGTTACGTTAAAACATAGTGAATTCCAGTAATTCGAGTATGTCAGAGTACAAATTCAAGTAGAGTTTACTTTCGAGCTGCTCGGACTTTGCCATGACTGATGATCTGAGAGTGAAAAACCGTCTCGAATAATGCGGGCTGTCACGTGAACTCGCGTTATTGAAAAACTCATTTGTATCGTAATCATTGAAACGTCATTGTAAAAGTAAACTGGATCGCGGAAACATACGATCGTTTTTAAAATTGCAATATTAACGAATAAGATTTCCCTCATCGTGATAAACTGCTCTTGCGCGGCAATATTAAATATATAATCTGCTGAAAAATATACGTATATGTACGCATATATATACATATATACATATATAATTATGTACACCCCGGTGGTATGTGCTGTCCTCTTTTAGGACGCGACCGCGAGCGAAAGTATAATAATTATACGGTCGATAATCGCTAACTTTTATCTGCCGACGCGCAGATGCTGTTATGGATTCCTTTCTTCTTGAAACACGTGTATACAAAGCAATAACTAGAGCTTAAATCCGTGATACGGTCGGATCTAACGGAGGATTAGTTTCGTCCAATTAGGATGTAGTACACGCATTATATTATTCTATTACGCTGACATCATCATATAAGGTTTTATATGACAATGAATTCTTTGCGCTTGTGTTTTATTTAATTTTTTTTCAGCTTGTTTTACTGTGTTATGCATTATTTAGCGTTATGTTCTGCAAGAGATATATTCTCAGCAATATACACCGAGTTAAACGGAGGTTATGCGCCTTTTCTTTCCTTTACGTTTCTCCGTCAATTAACGCCCGTTGCTAATGGGTGAATTATCTGCTGGATGTTGGTTTATTTACTTTATTCACCGAACATTTATTTTAATTGAATAAAAGCGTTTCGCAATGATTTCTTGAGTTTTATGCTTTTCTTTATCACCTTCATATTTGTTTCATTAACGCACCTGCGCAAACGTTACGCACGATAGGACATTATTATTTGCTGCACGTGCAATATAACGTTTATATCGACGTGTATGTTGTATCACCGAAGCTAATTAATTAACTAGTTAATTAATGAAGAGACTATAAATAGATGTAGTAGAAGTGACCGTCGGCTTGAAGATGATTAGAGAGATTAGCGATTTTATCTCTATTTACACTCTTGAGATCTCTACTTCATCGAGGCGATTTAACCGTTTAGGTGTTAGGTAATCCGAAGCGAAGAATCTGCTATTATAGCATGACGCGGCGAAGGCAAAAGAAGCTGTACATATGTAACGTAGGATGACAAACGGTTCCAGTTTACTAATATTGTCGGCACAGCCATGGGCAATTCACAAATAGGGTGAATCGATGAGGCCTCATGGGCTATCGCCGACGCGATAAAAGAGTTACGTTCCTAATTTCATCCGAAACTCGGCTGCACAGACAATACTCTGGTGCGTATGCTAGATTTTACGCACCGTAGAGATGCATTAAAACAGCAAATACGCTAGACATCGAAAAGAGCGTTATTTTGTAACTGTATTTTTACGAAATCAAGTATGAAGCGGTACCAACTGTGTCCGAAATAATAACAACTGCGAGTAGCTAAGGCGATCGAAGAAAGTCACTATAATTTGTGCAATAACGTTGTTAACTCTTTACGTATCGATATCGTTGCTGTTACGTGGATAAATAGATATTAGATATAACTAGAAGAAAATATTGCGTAAGATGTGTATATAATTCTACAGTAAACGGCAAAAAATCGTCAAAAGCAACGTTCTTCAACTTGACGAGCTTTGAAACAGGTGAACATCGTGCGACCGTTTTCATCCGTTTCCAAACGCATCATTGGGAGCAGAGGCCTCTTCTGCCACCGATTGTAACAAAGAGTAGGACATTTCATATCTTGGAAGTTTCACGCGCATATATATAATCTGTCAAACGTTTAGGAGGGGCGAGCTTCGCGCGGATCACGAAAAGAAATTGATCGAATTTGTTGTAAGTCGGCTGAAGCGAGTCGAAGTGAGTAACGGAGAATAAAGAAATTATTTTGCGTACTACGCACATAGACTTCTCTCTCGAGTCTCGTCTGTTTCGATCTCAAGCGAGATTGACAGCTCGACATGTTTAATGGATAAATTCCAACGATCGCGCGACCTTCGCCTTCGCCCGGGTCACCGTGAAGAGAGGAGTGTTGTCGAACAAACGACGACAAGCCGGCTAACAAGTGGAAATCCTTACGCCACTTGCCGGACTTCAGGAACACTCAGAAGTGCACAAGGTGAGGTCCTCGCCGACGCGTGCAACGCGACGGAGACATCAGCGTGCGATTAACATCTACACACGATCCGATCGATGAAACGTGACCGACGAGTTTCGTCGTTTCCGTGCAAACACGCGCGGAGCCCTGCACGCGGCGAGTGTGTTTGCACACATATATATTAATTACCGATGCTAACGACACGTAAGCGCGAAAGCAAGATGGTCCAAAGCTGCGGTACCGTTACTTACTACCTGTTCTTTCGAGCACCCCTCTCTCTCTCTCTCTCTCTCTCTCTCTCGCTCTCTCTCTCTCCTTCTCTCTCCCTCCTTCCACCTTCGTCATCACGCTCCCGGCGTCAAGAGAGAGGAAAAGAAACATGATCTAGCACCCATGGACGACCGACCCGACTCGAGGACGTCTCACGTTTTTTCCTCGCTGGCGTTTCGCTTACCCTCTCTGTACTTTACACCTTTACGTCGCACGGAAAAAATCATGGGGTTGTTAATCCTCCCCCCTCCCGTAAAGGGTTTGCGCCTCGTCGAAAATTTCTCGTTTCGTAGTTGATTTCACTCCGGACCACTTTCGTGTCTTTCGCGCAAATTACAGGCTCTGCTCTCTCTCTCTCTCTCTCTCTCTCTCTCTCTCTCTCTCTCTCT